ATATACTTATCCCTCTCAATCTCTCGTCCCTCCACCTACACTTCTGCAGCGTCCCTGCTAGCAGGGCCCTTGTAACGACTCGAGACGAAAGAACAAAGAAAAAGAAGCAGCAGCAGCGCAAGCTCACATACATAGAAACATGCACCCACAGAAAGCTGCAAAACGTGCACTCAGGCACATAACAAAAGGCCCAGCAAGCCCACACATGTTTCAAAAGAAAAGAGATGAATGAAAAGAAGCCAAAACACAAGTAGGGAACGCAGCGCCTAGTAGAAGAAGCCAAGGACCTTTCCACCAGTGTTACGGGCACGTGCCTCCTCGTGGTCCATGATGCCAAGCGACGTCGTCAGGACAACGAAGCCAAACTGACGGCTGGGAAGGATGTTCTTCACCCACTTCTCGAAGTCGCGCGCAGTGCAGTCGAAGCGGGGGCAGATGGCGCCGCACTTGTTCAGGCGGCCGTTGAGGTTCACCACAATCTTCCCGGCGCGGTGGTCATCGATGATCTCGAACTCGCCAATGTAGCCGTGCTTCTGCATCACCTGCAGGAACTTCACGACCACCTTGGAAGATGGACGGATCAACACCTGCCGCTTGCCACGGCGCTCTGCGCTCGCAATGGCGCGGAGCGCGTTGGCCAGAACGCTCATCATGGTCATCCTTAGGCTCGCTTTGTTCCTGTTGTTCAATCCAAGAGAGAAAGAGGTGGAGAAAAATGAGAAGGTAGTCCCTCTCTGTCGCAGCAAACAGCGGCAAATAGGAAAGGGTAAAGGGCATAAAGCTGAACAAAATCACCACAGCAGAAATCTCCCAGAAGATGGTCTTCTTACGAATTGCGAGTGCGTCCCTTCACTGGCGGGGATATCGGTGCTTCGCTCGCCGTTGCGGATTCGGCCGCGATCCCGCCTGCACGTAGTGCCCCTCCGCCAGTGCGTCGAGGCCATGCACAACGTCCGGCACCGCCCGCCGCCCCGCCGCTGTCATCGTCTCGCGGTGCAAGCGAGAAAATTCCACCTTTGCTCCGCGGAGCACCTCCGTCGTGCGCCGCCCGGCCCACACGAACCACATGGAGCGGAAATGCGAGTGCTCGTTTCCCACGCCTTTCGGATGTTTGAAGTCGTAGCGGACACGCGGCACCAAATAAAACGGCTCCACTCCAATTGGCACCACATCACAGTCACCACAGTCGCCACTGCCGCTGTTGGTATTATTGTTGTTGCCAGACGCCGCATCTGCGTCCGTCTTGACAAACGGCGGTGGCTGCAGCAGAACGGCGGCTGGTACGAGCGGGCGGGCGCGACGCGGTGCGTTGATGTCACCTTTGCCGGTCGGCGGCGCGGGAGTGAAGTGCCGCCGCACCGCCGACCGATACCACTCTTTCGTCGCCGTGTAGTCTGGCACCAGAAAAGCAAAAGGCCTCTTGGACGCCAGTAGGTAGTCAAACATCCGCTCAATGTGGTCGCCGCTGAAGGGTGGGTTCGTGACGAGCATGTCGTAATCGCGCGGAACAGTTCCCTCCGCCACATCCTTGTAGAAGTCGCGGTTGTCGTGCAACACCCGCTGCACACCAAGCTCCTTCCACTGCTGCACAATACCACCAGCACAGTAGTACGGGTCGTACACTGCGAAGTTCTCGGGGGCCGACGGCCGCACCAGCTGCCGTAGCTGCTCGACAACCACCATGATATCCTGCAGCGCCTCCATCGACGTCTCAAAGTGGTCATTGAAGTCTGCACGAAACGGGTGCGAGAGCCCCACCGCCCCCGACGCACCGTAGTCGCCCGTTCGGGGACGCTTGTACACACCACCTTGTTGCGGTTGCAGCTGATCC